CCCCAAAATTCCCACCCCCACGTGGCTCCCCACCCCTCCGGCCCCTCCATGCCCGAGGAGCTCCCGAGAACTCACCCTGTTCCGTGTCAGTTCCTTCCCAGACACCCTGGAGGCAGGAGACACATCCCCATCCTCGTTCTCGGCGCGCCCGTCCCCGCACGTGACCACGGCGAGCGAGAGCGAGCTCAGCACCACGGCCACCGAGCTGCTCCAGGACTACATGATGACGGTGGGGGCTCGGGGACTGGGGAGCGGGACCCTCGGGGTGCTGGGATGATCCTGCGATTTGGGACCGGGACCCTCGGGGCGCTGGGATGATCCTGGGATTTGGGACCGGGACCCTCGGGGCGTTGGGATGATCCTGGGATTTGGGACTGGGACCCTCGGGGCGCTGGGATGATCCTGGGATTTGGGACCGGGACCCTCGGGGCGTTGGGATGATCCTGGGATTTGGGACTGGAACCCTCGGGGCACTGGGATGCTCCTGGGATTTGGGATCGCGACGCTCGGGGCATTGGGATGCTCCTGGGATCTCGGATTGTGGCCTCAGAGGGAGGGATGTGGGGTGTAGGAGCAGCTCGACCTCCTTCCCAGCCAGGCTGGGCCGGGAGGGCCTGGCTGTGGGCTCGTGTCGTGGAACCTTGGAGTGGTTTGGGTGGGAAGGGAACCTACAGATCATCCAGTTCCACCCCGTGCTGTGGGCAAGGACACCTTCCACCCTCCCAAGTTTCTCCAAGCCCCGTCCAACCTGGCCTTGAACAATTCCAGAGGTGGGGCAGCCACAGCTTGTCTCAGAAATCCACTTCAGTCCCTCACCACCCTCACACCATTTCTTGCCAATATCCCATCTGAATCTCCACTTTTCCAGTGGGAAGCCGTTCCCCGTGTCCTGTCCCTCCAGGCCTTGTCCCCAGTCCCTCTCCAGCTCTCCTGGAGCCCCTTCAGGCCCTGCCAGGGGCTCTCAGCTCTCCCTGGAGCCTTCTCTTCTCCAGGGGAACCCCCCCAGCTCTCCCAGCCTGGCTCCAGAGCAGAGGGGCTCCAGCCCTGGCAGCATCTCCGGGGCCTCCTCTGGACTCTCTCCATCTCCCACAGGAGCATCCCCCACTCTGTCTCCTTCCCCCTGTCCAAAGTCATCCCTATCCATAAGTCCCAGCCCCAGCAACACCCAGAGCCTGTCCCTGCTTTCCCATCGGGATGAGGGGGTCCCTGGCTGCAACCAGTGCCATTCCCAAGCCTCCCCCCATTCCCAAGCCCCGGTGCCATGAGTGCTGTCCCCCAGCTCCGGACCAAGCTGTCCTCCCAGGAGATCCAGCAGTTTGCCATGCTGCTCCACGAGTACCGCAACGGGGCCTCCATCCACGAGTTCTGCATCAACCTCAAGCAGCTCTACGGGGACAGCAGGAAATTCCTGCTCCTGGGTGAGTGCAGGAGAGCTCCAGGGATGGGCACTGGGTGCTACGGGACAGGCGGTGGGGTGGGACTGAGGGGGGAAAGGGTCGGGGCACAGGGAGACCTTGGGGTCACCACACGAGGGGAATGTCTCAATCCACCACTCCTGTGGAGATTCCTCCTTCCTGGGCCATCTGTTTCAGCCTATCCTGGTTTGAGTCCCTGCCTCAGAGCTGTTCCCTGTTCTCTCCTGGCTGTGGAGCACCTGGGAACCTCCTGCCAACCTGGGAGTCTCTCCCAGACCTGGGAACCTCCTCCAGAACAAGGGAATCTTCTCCAGACCAGGGAACTTAACACAGACCTGGGAACCTCCCCCAGACCTGGGAAATCTCCAGGCCAGGGAATCTCCTCCCAACCTGGGAATTTCCTCCAGACCTGGGACATTTAAATAACCTGGGCTTACACACCTGGATCCTCTCACCTGGCCTTTACTATCCAAGGAAAAACAGGCCAGGAGTTTAAAATCCTGACAGGATAGGAACAGCTTGTCTGACTGCACCCAGGGCCTCCCTCCTGGCCTCTAATATCCCAGGAAAACAGACCAGGAATTTCAAATCCCCCCAGGATGGAAGCAGTGTGTCTCACCTGGGCCCTGCTGGCCCCTGGGGACACCGAGGGGACAGGGCAGATGTCCCTGACGGGACAAATTATTGGCATAAGCTCAGCAAAGCCGAGCAAGGAGTCAGGTGAGGAATTAGATCCTTTGGAGTTTGGAAAATCCCCCTTGGGCCGGATTTTGCCCTCAGGTCCCAGGTGTGAATGGGAGACCCTGGAGCTCCCCGTCCCCCCAGAGAGGCTCCCGGGCTCTCCCGGAAGGCTCAGGAGCCTCGGGAACACCGTGCAGTGAGAACCCCACGGGTACCTGCCCTGAGTGCACATCTCCACGTCCCACGCTCTGTCCGTGCTCTCTCCCGGCTCCAGGCCTGCGTCCCTTCATCCCGGAGAAGGACAGCCAGCACTTCGAGAACTTCCTGGAGACCATCGGGGTGAAGGACGGGCGCGGGATCATCACGGACAGCTTCGGGCGCTACCGCCGCTCCCTCGGCGCCGCCTCCGCCTCCAACGGCACCGGCGCCGCCGGCAGCTCCGACGAGCAGTCGGTGCCCTCGGAGGAGGACGAGTGGGACAGGATGATCTCCCACATCAGCAGCGACATCGAGGCGCTGGGCTGCAGCCTGGACAGGGACTCGTCCTGAGGGAATGGGGCTGGACACGGGGGGCCGGGACACGGAGCTGCTCCCAGGGGCAACACGGAGCTGCCCCCGGGGGGATCCCGGCCCGGCCCTCGGAGGGACACCGGGACACGGAGGTGCCTTTGGGGGGGACGTGGAACATGGACCTGCCCCTGGGGGAACACGGAGCTGTCCTTGGAGGGACACCAGGATGTGGAGCTGCTCCTGAGGAGAACACGGAGCTGCCTTTAGGGGAGACATGGAGCTGCCCCTGGGGGTACTCTGGGACATGGAGCTGCCCCTGGGGGTACCCCGGGACATGGAACATGGAGCTGCCCCTGGGGACCCCAGAGTGGCCCTCGGAGGGACCCAAGAACACCAACCTGTGCCCTCAGGTGGGGGGACATGGACCTGCCCTTGGAGGGTCCCAGAACATGGATTCTTCTGCAGGACCTGGGGGCTCCAACAGGATGGATTCACTCTCCTGGCCTCATTAACAGCTCCAGGGGCAGGAATGGCTCCGGTGTGGATTTGGAGGGGCAGAGCTGGATTTGGGGTTTGGATTTTTGGGGACAGATCTCTTTCTGAGCATCGAGGTTTCCTTCCAAGGGGATGGATCTCCCCGGAGGATGGATCTGCTCTTGAGCATCCAGATCTCTTCCTGAGGGGCCGGGCCCGCTCCCTCCCCAGTTTACAGTTTGCACAGCAGGTCCCCCATAACTCCCCCCCGACCCCCCTAATGAAGTTTTGCCACAATGTGAATCATTTCACCCTCTCGGCCCTGCTGTCGGAACATTCCAGAACGTTCTGGCTCCCCCAGATTCCCCACAATCACCCCCTGCCCATCCCGGTGGTCCTGGTGGGGGCAGGAGCTCGGGGGGGGCTGCTGGGGCACCCCAGGACCCCCAGAGCTGATCCAGGACCCCCCTTCTATCTGCACCCCTGATGGGAGTCCCACCTTGGGGGGGTCCCTATATGGGATGGGGGGTCCCAGTTAATCCCACAGCCACACCAGAGGGGTGCTGCCCCCTCCGTGGGTGCCCGGGGGGGGGACTGGGCCCCTCCACCCAGAGGCAGACACTGACTCAGCAGTTTGGGGGATCCCGCAGCTCCAGCACATTCCAGAGGCTTCAGCCCCAAATCCCCCGCAGTGCCTTTAACCCCTCTGCTCCCAGTGCCCACCAGTTCACCAACTCCCTTAACTGGTGTGTCCCCAGTTCACCAACTCCCTTAACTGCTGTGTCCCCAGTTCACCAGCACCCTTAACTGGTGTGTCCCCAGTTCACCAACTCCCTTAACTGGTGTGTCCCCAGTTCACCAACTCCCTTAACTGGTGTGTCCCCAGTTCACCAACTCCCTTAACTGGTGTGTCCCCAGTTCACCAGCACCCTCACTGGTGTGTCCCCAGTTCACCAGCACCCTTAACTGGTGTGTCCCCAGTTCACCAGCACCCTTAACTGGTGTGTCCCCAGTTCACCAGCTCCCTTAACTGGTGTGTCCCCAGTTCACCAGCAGCCTCACTGGTGTGTCCCCAGTTCACCAGCAGCCTCACTGGTGTGTCCCCAGTTCACCAGCTCCCTCACTGGTGTGTCCCCAGTTCACCAGCACCCTCACTGGTGTGTCCTGCCCCCTTTACCGTTACTTTTACTGGTGTCCCCTTTCTCCCTTTACCCTTAGTGATGTCTTCTCCCCCTCACCCTTAACTGGTGACCCCCCCCTCTCCTCCGGGGGGGTCCCCCAGCCCCAGCTCCTCCTCCCCCTGGAATTTGGGGGTGCTGGAAGCTGAGTGATCCCGGGGACTCACCTGGGGGGCACAGAGGGGGCCCCTCCGAGAGCCTTCCCATTCCCAGGCCAAGAAACTGGGCGCAGGAAGGGGGGGGGCAAAGCAGGGGGACCCCGGGTCCCTGGGATTTGGGGAGCAGGAATTCCCTCCCTCAGAGCTGGGGGAGTTTCCTTCCCATCATTAAACCCTTTGGGAAATTGGGAATTTCAGGAAAACCCCCATTTTTGACAGGATCCAGAGAGCTCCTGACAGCTCATGGGGGAGCAGGAGGTGTTTTTATATTTCCATGGGAAAGGGGATTAAATTCTGGGAGTGAGGCAGAGCTGCAGTGTCCTGGCAGGTCTCTGCCACACCCCCATTGTCCCCCTAAAGTTGGGGGGGGTAAACCCTGACCCCCAATGGTGTTGGGAGCACCCTGGGGTGCTGCCACCCCTGACCCCCAGCACCATGAGAGCCCCAAAACCTGCCCACCCTGCTGTCCCTCCACCTCCCCATCCTGGTTACAACCCCCTGTGCCCCCCCCACCTCACTGCTGGAAAAGGGGCTCCCCAGACCCCCCAAAATCATCACAGGGGGGGCCAAGTGCAATCCAAGGGGTGCAGGAGGCCTTTATTGAGCGGTCCAGGGGGGGAGGAGGAGGATGGGGGGCAGGAGGAAGGATTTGGGGGGGCTCTGTGCATCTATACAGGGGGGCCAGGCCAGCCCTGGCCGCTACATGGTCAGTTCCTGCGGGAGAGAGGGCGAGTCAGGGACCCCCAGGACACCCCAGTCCCGCTGGGGAGGGGTCCCAGCCCCCAGCAGGGAGGGTCCCAGCCCCCAGCAGGGAGGGTCCCAGCCCCCAGCAGGGAGGGTCCCAGCCCATCCCACTCACCATGATGGCGTTGACGATGTCGTTGTTGTTGTGCCGCAGGGCCCGCACGGCTTTGGGGCGGGACACGTTGGCCTGGGCCATCACCAGCTCGATGTCCCGCACCTCCAGCCCCGTCTCGTCCACCTGGGGGGGGCACAGGGCTGTCACCCCCCGAAGGCACCCACCCAGAGCTTCGGGGGTCCCCCAGCACCCACCCCGGGAGCCCCTCTGTGTCCCCTCCCAGGGCACACCACACTGGCCAGGGCCATCCCCAGCTCCGTGTCCTGCCCCTCCAGCCCCGTCCTGTCCCCCCCATAACACCCCACAGGACCCTGGGGGTCCCTCTGCACACCTCAGGGACTCCCCCCGTGCCCCTCCCAGGGCACAAGACCATAACCTGAGCCACCCCCGGCTCCGTGTCCTCCTGTTCCTCCAGCCCTATCCCCCCCACCTGGGGGAGGAACAGCTCCGTTACCCCCCCATGTCACCCCCCGGGGGTCCCCGAGCCCCCCCAGCACCCACCTCCTCCTCCTCCTCGCTCTCCTCCTTGATGGCGAGGGCGGGGGCCGTGTCTGTCACCAGGGCCGAGTGTTCCAGCGGCACCTTGAACTTCTCGGCCGCCGCTTTGTGCACTTGCTGGGACAGGTCCTCGATCTGGGGGGCACAGGGGGTCACTGCCGGCCTCCCCCGGGCAGGGACACCCCCCCACACACACCTCGGACCCCCGAGCCCACCTTGGCCTCCCCGAAGACGATGTAGATGTCGGAGGCGGGGCTCTTGAACACGTCGGGCTTGGAGATGACGAACAGGATGTTCTTGGACTTGCGGATGGTGATGCGGGTGACGCCGTGGATCTGCCGCAGCCCCAGCTTGGACATGGCCTGGGGGCGCGGGGGGCACAGGGTGACCCCCTGCACAGCAGCCCGGGGGGGCTCCAGCCCCCACAGCGACACCCCAAATCCCCGGGATAACGGGGAAACCCGGGATGGGGGATGGAGGACATTGTCCCTGGCACGGCCAGGATGGGACCCCCAACCCAGGGTGGGAACCCCCAGACCCTCCCCAGTGTGGCCTGGAGAACCCCCTGGAGTGGGGGCTTGAACCCCAACACCCCAGAACTAACCGCCCCAAAAACCCATGGTGAAATAAGGACCCCAACCCCATGGGTGAGCCCAACCCCAACCCAGTGTGACCTGGGGACCCCCAGAGTGGGGACCAGGCCCCCAGCACCCCAGGACTGACCCCCCTGCCCGAACCCTGGGATGGGGATCCCAACCCCACATAGGGACCCCCGTTCCCAGTGGGACCCCCCACCTTCCGGGCCTTCTTCTCGCTCCGGCTCTGCTTGGCCTTGCTCAGCGGTTCCTCTCCGGGGCCGAGCGCGTGGCCCAGGGGCACCTGCAGAGAGGGGGGTCAGGGGGGCCCCCAGCACCCCCGGGGGGTCCCACCAACCCCGACCCCCCAAACCTCCACCTGGGGCTGGGCGGGGGGCGGCTCCGAGCCCTCGGGCTCCTCCAGCTCCGGGATGGACTCGTCGTTGCTCTCGGATTCGTTCCCGGACCCTGGGAATGAAGGGGGGCAGTGAGAGGGGCCCCGGACCCCCCAAGCCCGGGGGTACCCAGGGCCCCCCCTCACCTCGGTGGTTGGGCTGGCAGCGCTGGGGGGCCGGGTCGGCCCGGGGGGTCTCAGCCTCGCTGGACGAGCTCGACTCGGACTGCAGAGACCCCCGGGGGGGCCCCCGGCCCCCCCCAGCCCCCGGCCCTGCCGCTCGGCCCCGGGGCTCCGGCTCCTTCTGCGGGGGGGGCTGGGGGGCTGCGGGGGGACGGGGGGCTGAGCCCAAGGGTCCCCAAAACTCCTCTGGGGGGTCAAACCCCCTGCTCACCCCCATCACCCACCCCGGGACGCCCCCAAAGGCACATCCTCCCCCCCCAGGTGCCCACCCTGGTGCCAAGAAATACCCCGGGAGGGGGGCTGAGCTGGGGGGTGGGGAAACCTCCCATGGGGGTGAACCCCCCTGCTCACCCCCATCACCCACCCGGGAACAACAACCCCCCCAAAGGCACTCCCAGCCCCCCCAAGCGCCCACCCTGGCCCCACACAGTCCCCTATGGCAGTGGGGGGGGCTGAGCTGGGGGGCCCCCAAAACCCCTTCATAGGGCTGAACCCCCCCAGAGACCCTCCCCAGCCCCCCCCGGGTGATGCCCACCCCAGACCCACAGCCACGGAGGAATCTGGGGGGTGTCTCTTACCTTCGAGGTGCTTCCTGGAGGGGGGCAGCCCCGGGGGGGGCTCCTGGCCGGGGAGGGGCCCGGGGGGGGCCGGGGCCAGCAGGGACACGGCGGCGGGAGGAGGCACTTGGCTGAGTTTGGGGGGCGCAGGGCGGGGGGGCTCGGGGGGGGGCGGCTTCTGGGGGGGCCCCTGCTGAGCCCCCACAGCGGGAAGGGGGCTGGAGGAGCCCCCCCCCACCGCCTCCTCCTTCTGCTGCTGCTGCTGCTCAGGGGGAGCTGGGGGGGATCTTGGGGGGCCGGGGGGGCTTGGGGGGCCACCCTCCCCCGGGACTTTGGCATCGGTGCCCCCCTCAGTGGGGCCGGGGGGCTCAGGGCCCGGCCGGGGGGTGGGGGGCTCCTGCAGGGGCGGGGGCAGGTCCCCGAGGGCCCCCCGGGGCAGGGCAGTGACCCCCGGGCCGGCCCCACGCCCCGAAAAGGCACCGGGTGGTGGGAGCAGCTCGGGGGGGGCCAGGGGGGTCCCCACAAACACCTCCCGCTCCGAGGCCGTGAACAGCGGGGGGGGGGCTGCGGGACCCTCATCATCCTCCTCCCCCTTCTCTTCTGCCTCTTCCTCCTCTGACGGCCCCCTGAGGGCACAGGGGGGGCCGGGGGTCCCGGGGGGGTGTGGGGTCCCGGGGGGGCGTGGGGGGCCCTCCCTGGCGCTGTTGAGGCTGGAGATGGGGTGGGATTGAGAAGCATCCGGCAGCTCCAGGGACGAGCCCTCGGGCGAGGCGGTGGCCACGTCCCCCCACCCTTTGGGGGGCTCGGGGACCTCCCCGGGGGGCTGTGACAGCGACCCCTGTGATGGGGGACACGGGAGGGCAGCCGGGGGCTCGTGGGACAGGGTCACCTCAGCTGCCAGCACCACGGGGGACACGGGCTGGGGGCTCGGGGTCACCGGGGCACTGGCCATGGTGGCCACCGGGCTGGGGGTCACTGGGGTCACCGGGGCACTGGCCGTGGTGGCCACCGGGCTGGGGGTCACCAGGTCAGTGGCTGCATCATCCGGCGGGGTTGGTGTCACCGGTGTCAGTGGCTCGGTGTCCCCGGTGTCCATCAGGCTGCAGGTCACTGGTGTCACTGGGGCAGTGGCTGCAGTGTCCATCTCATCCAGCGGGGTTGGTGTCACCGGTGTCACCAGGTTGGTGGCCACAGTGTCCATCAGGGTGGTTGTCACTGATGTCAGCACGTCAGTGACCACAGCATCCTTCAGGGTGGATGTCACCGGTGTCACCAGGGCAGCGTCCACAGTGTCCATCTTGTCCAGCAGGCTGGGAGTCACTGGTGTCACCGGGTCAGTGGCTGCAGTGTCCATCTCATCTGGTGGGCTTGCTGTCACTCGTGTCACCGGGTCAGTGGCCGCAGTGTCCGGCGGGGTTGGTGTCACCAAGTTGGTGGCCACTGTGTTCAGCTCATCTGGGGGGCTCGTTGTCAGCAGGTCAGTGTCCACAGCGTCCATCTCATCCAGGGGGGTCGGTGTCACCGGTGTCACCAGGTCGGTGGCCGTGCTGTCCATCAGGTCAGGCGTCACTGGTGTCAACCCTGCAGTGCCTGCAGCGTCCGGCTCATCCAGTGGGGTTGGTGTCACCATGTCAGTGGCCACAGTGTCCAGCTCATCCAACGGGCTGGGTGTCACCAGTGTCACCAGCTCAGTGGCCGCAGTGTCCGGTGGGCTGGGTGCCACTGGGCCGGTGGCCGTGCTGTCCATCAGGCTGGGTGTCACCAGCGTCCCCAGATCAGTGTCCGGCTCATCCAGAGGGGTCGGTGTCACCGGTGTCACCATGGCAGTGGCCATAGTGTCTGGCTCACCGGGCGGGCTGGGTGTCACCGGGCTGGTGGCCACAGTGTCCATCTCATCCAGGAGGATTGGTGCCACACCAATGGTGTCACCTGGTGTCACCAGGTCAGCGCCCACGGTGTCCATCAGGCTGGGGGTCACCGGTGTCTCCAGGTCAGCGCCCACGGTGTCCATCAGGCTGGGGGTCACCGGTGTCTCCAGGTCAGTGCCCACGGTGTCCATCAGGCTGGGGGTCACCGGTGTCTCCAGGTCAGTGCCCACGGTGTCCATCAGGCTGGGGGTCACCGGTGTCTCCAGGTCAGTGTCCAGCCCAGGTGTCGCTGATGTCCCCAGGTCAGTCTCCGCAGTGTCCACCAGGCCGGGTGTCACTGGTGTCACCTCCTCAGTGGCCGCAGTGTCCGTCTCATCCCGGGGGATCGGTGTCACCGACGTCCCCAGGCTGGTGGCCGCGGTGTCCGGCTCACTGTGGCCATCAGTGCTCCCTGCTCTCCCTGTGCCGAGCTTGAGGTCACTGTCACCATCGCTGTCACCCCCAGGGCTGTCCCGGGGCTCCCCGTTGGCCCCCCTCAGCCGGAGGCTCTGGGGGTCCCTGGCGCAGGGCCCGGGGCTCTGGGGGACACCGACTGTCACCGCTGGCTCCGTGCAAGGTCCCTGTCCCGGCGATGCCGCTCCAGAACTTTCTGCCACCTCCTGGGGGGGCTCCAGGGGGGACCACGCCTCCACCGTGGGGACAAAGGCGTGGCCGTCCTGCTCCGTGTGCCCCCTGGGCAGTCCCGGGGGGGTCCCCGCAGACCCGGGGCCCGTCCCCTCTGCGGGGGGGTGACACGGGGACCCGGCGTGAAGGTGGAGCTCGATGCCGGGGGTGCCCGTGGGGGCGGTGGGGGTGCCCGGGGGGGTGCCCGGGGGGGTGCCCGGGGGGGTGCCCGGGGGGGTGCCCGGGGGGGTGCCCGG